ATAAGAAGCGTATGCACCTATTCCGACTTACCTAGAAATTCAACTTAAAGACACACTTAGGAATGGATCTTGTTTGTAACCGGGGACTGCCTGTAATCAGATTGTATTTTATTGCTTTGTACCTACAGGTGTTATTTTATTATTAATCACTTCTTCCTTTCCTTGACCAGATTTGTAAGCTACCTAAGGGCAGAAATGATATTCTTTTTTTTGGTTAAATACCTCCCATTTGAACCAAAAAAAACACCCAAACCCGCTGCCATTGAGTCAATTCCGACTCATAGCAACCCTATGGGACAGAGTAGAACTGTCCCCATAGAGTTTTCAGGGAGCACCTGGTGGATTCAAACTGCTGGGCTTTTGGTTAACAGCCTAGCTCTTAACCACTACGCCACCAGGGTTTCCATCTGAACAAACGGTGACCTACATACACCCTCAAAACATTACTGTCTGACCAACTACTCTGTATACTATTACCCAGAAGACATTACAGCTAAGATAGTAGCAAAATAAGTAACAGGATTAATAGTTTTAACTTAATATCGTTATTTCCAAAGTAAACCCAAAGTTGTAACACGGACTTCACTTAGTAAAGGATACAGAAAAATCATGTTAAATAAAAAATTGAATCCAACTGGCCCAAAAAATAAGAAATTGGTGATTAATCGCCATATCTGTTAAAAAAAATCAAAAGACAGATTAAATATTATTACCCGGAAACTTTTCCATATTAAGACAGAAGAGACATACTATGACTACGATTGTTGAAAGGCTATATAAAATATGGTGATACTATGGTTTTGAACTGCTAAGAATTGAACTGTGTCCTCCTAAATGTTGTAAATCCTAACCCCTATAAGCTTGTGAACGTAATCCCATCTAGGAAGAGTGTTTTCTATGTTATGTTAATGAGTCCATATCAGTATAGGGTATGTCTTAAACCATACTTTTGAGATATAAAGAGCAGATTAGGCGCAGAGGCAAGGAAGACAGATGCCACATGAAGCTCACCAAGGAACAGAAGCTGAAAGGAGACAAGAAAGCCTTCCCCTAGAGCCAGAGCCCTGAATTCAGACTTCTAGCCTCCTAAACTGAGAACATAAATTTTTGTTTGTTAAAGCCATCCACTTGTGGTATTTTTGTTAGAGCAGCACTAAGAAACTAAGACATGAACCAAAAACTGGGACACACTATCCGACCAGGATTTTTGTGCTGATTCTAGTTGAAAGTCTGAAAGATGTAATTTGGACCTTGAAATTTATAAGGAAAATAGGACAGAGAATTTAAAATTGTAGTTGTCTTCAAAAAACAAAACAATAAAACCATACCATATGGTCAGCCAAAACATGGAAAAAGTTTGCTGGGAAGACCAGCTTTAATATGCTGAATAGCAAATAATGCTTTCAGACGTGTAGTATTACAGTCTAATGAACAGCCTTGAAATACAGAGAAAAACTGCAGGGATCTAATGTAAATTGCCAAGAAATGTTTCTACCAGATAGTCAGACACATCCAGAAAAAAGGGTAATTTTAAGGTAAATACTGAAGTTCTAGTCTGAACAAACAGCCAACTTCCTAAAAAGAAAAAACTATTGTTCTAATAATTACAGCCTAATATAAGGACACTAGTTTTCATGTGGAGCCCTGGTGGCACAGAAGTTAAGTGTTTCGGCCGTTAACCAAAAGGTCAGCAGTTCAAATCCATCAGCCACTCCTTGGAAACTCTATGGGGCAGTTCTACCCTGTCCTCTATGGTCACTGTAGGTTGGAACCGACAGGATATCAACAGGCTTGGGTGTTTTCACACTGAAAGTCCTGACACACCCTTCCCTACCCAACCCACCCATACCCACAATGATAATAACTACTCACAACAGTAAAACACTAAACATTTTAAAATGTTTTAACACAGTCTACTGTTTCATGTGATAATGATCCTGTGAGACAAACACGCTAGTACTACCATTCCTATTTTACTGATGAGGAAACTAAAGAGACTCAGATAACTTTAAAATGACTTGTAGGTGCCAGACTCTGAACTCAAACCTAGAACTTCCAACTCCAAATACAGATACAAGGGGTCATCAAGGGTTTAACCCCAGGCAAAGACAAGCCAAGCAAGCCACGAGGAAGCAATGCTTGGATGGAGTTACAGCTCCCAGAAAAAGACTATGTGAGTATCAAAGGAAGAAGGTGGTGACATGAAGCCACATGACTGCTTTACACATCATTATGTCCTGCAGAATTATTAACTATTAAAGTGGGCACAATTCAGTTCTACATAGTAACTGCATCCAGGATTTGAGAGCCCTTATCATGGAGAGGAGAAAAGCATACAAATAAGTGCAAGAAGAGGGTGAGAGATGCTCTAAAATGATTCACAGATACCCTACGGACACAGAGGAGGATGAATCAAAGGCTACACGAAAGCTGAGTCTTGAAAGGCAAGTAAAATGGGTAAAAAGCGAATAAAACACATTTGAAACAGAGGGAGCAGCATCTCTAAAGGCAGAATTACTAGCTTTTTGGTCTTGCCCCTGCCCCACCCATAGCCTGTATAATCATCCTGGAACAGGAAAATACACCTTTTAGCATTCTCATCACTGGAAAGATTACCATTTTGTGGGATTACTGTCTTCCACTGTAATCTAATAAACTGGCATGCTCTTTTAGAAGTTAGTTTTTTGGAGTTTCATTAGCATGAGCCAATCCCTGGAGGTTGGATCAATTCAAAAGCACTAACAGAACTAAACTTCTGAACTGGACATGGTGATACCACCAAGGTGGTGAGTGTGCCTAGGCAGTGAGGGGACATTCTGTGAGACTCTCTCTGGGCGGCTGGTCACTTTCAAACTACAGCACTAACTCCAAACCAATGATTCCCAAACACGGGAAATGGACACATCAAAACCATACAGATTCTTAATTCCCACCCTTGGTGATTCTGACTTGTACATAAGGAGATTGAGAATCTTTTAAAAGTTCCCTAGGTGATTCTGGAGCCCAAGGAAGCTGCAGACCATTGTTTTATACCACCCCCACAGACACACGATAAGATTTCTAATCCAAAGGTTCCCACTGGATTATTTTCTGAGACAGTGTATGGCAAGATTTGCTACGAAAAAGTAAAAAAAAGAAAAAAATTAGAAAACTAAAACAATATCATGATTGTGATGGACCACTTACTTGAAAATGTTTAAAGATTAATTCAGGATTGAAGTACAACTGAAAAGGTGTGATCAATTCCAACTGCTGAAATAGAAAAGGGGTTTCTTAAAGCAAATCAATAAAGAAGCAACATCTCAAGATTTACAAGGAAAGATTAGTAAGCCTAGCAATTTCCAACTTTCAGCCACGTAGACTGAATTCCGTTAAGACCTTCTTCTTAGGCCAGAGGAAGAAGATGGTAAAGAATTCTCTAGAATTGGTACAATTCTTTCTATTCTCAATACCTAACACAAAATAAAAGTTTGTTTTATGTTTCAATAGTTGAGGTTGACACAAAGGTATGGCAGGCAGGCGGTGACAACTTTGATATAGGGCGAGTAAGAGCAGCTGCAACGAACGTACCTATCACGTGGGCATCACCAGAAACAGCTGTGTAAAACAGTATGCACTCACTCTTGTATGATGAAAGAACCGAGACTCAAGACACTGCCGCCGTCAGCGCTGGGTGCCCCTAGTCAACCCCTATATCCGCAGACCTTATTTCAGGATCTTTCACTCTCGACAATCCCCAGCTTTCTATTCTCAATATTAACTTGCTTCACAAAGCGGACCTTCTTCTCTCAATTAGCATGGTACCACCTGGCCATCGCCCAGCGTTCTCGGACAAATTTCCTGGGTGGGCGGCTCCTGCACCCCCGATCCGCTATCTGGCCTCATCTCTCAGAAACTGGCGTGCAGTCCTGACCCCACCCATCCCACCTGTCAAGAAGTCACGCTCCCCTCTCTGCAATCAGCACTCTCCGGACCACCCCAAACACCAGAGAGAGCCCTGTACGCTTCCATCCACCCATGAGACCCACCCCTCTGGGCCTCCCCGAGGCCCAAATCCCAGCTTCGTTGGGACCCAGACACATCGAGCTGGGAGTAACGAGAAGCTGGTGCTGCAACTGCTCACCACAGCGGCGGTGGTAAGGACGCAGGCGGTGGTGTAAGCGCGGCTGACCGGTGGGATCTGCAGGTACTCCAGCCGGAGACTCTGGTACGCCATCTTCCCCACCACCGCCTGCCCCCACTTCCCCTTCCGCCAGTCTCCCCAAGCCGCCGGGCGGTATCAAAGAGGGGACGGGGGCAGGGAGGCGTCCCTTTTTAGGGACCCTATATGCTGGCCAATCGGCGCTGCGCAGCCAGCCAGCCACCAATCGCTAGATACCTAAGGAAAGCACACCTACCAATCACGAGTTGCATCTCTCCCGTCCCCAGCCTTGCTTCTCCACCCACCAACGTCCGGTTCCCTTCACCAATCCCGGCCGGCCACAGCTAACTTTCCCGCCTGGCCCCCTTTCATCGCTAATGTAGGGGCCCCACTTCCGAACGGACAGCCAGCCAATCAGGAGCGCAGTGGAAACCCGCCTTTGCTTTCGTTCGCTGGGGCAAGTATCAGTCGGAGTTTTCCGGCGCCTTGCCGCGCCGCCTGTCTTTGGTAGCCAACAGTGGTTTGAAGGAGGTGGCGGGAAACCGCTGTTTGGTCGAATTCATCACTGCATGATCGCTTTGGTAGGTGCCTTTTCTCTGAGGAGGAGCGGGAAAGGATGGAACTGGATTAGGCACCGTGGCAGAGGCGATGGAGGGAACTATTAGAGCCTCGGCGGCCCGACGGAGGGCGTCCGCCCTGAAGGTCCCGGCATGCAGCGGGGTCGCAGTGCTGGTCGGGAGCCTGCCGGTCGGCCGGAAACAATTCTTATTTGAGGTTTCTGGTCCCGCCTCATGTTTTCTGGTGCCTCTTGGAGCCCTCGTGGCGCAGTGGTTAAAAGTTACGGTTAACCAAAAAGAGTTCGAATCCACCAGCCCCTCCTTGGAACCCTATGGGGGCAGTTCTACTCTGCCCTATAGGGTCGCTATGAGTCGGAATCGACTCGAGGGCAAAGGGTTTGGGTTTTTTTTGGAAACTCCCTGAGCTGTCCCGGATACGGTGCAAGTATTGATTAAACCGGACTCATCCTGCGCTCAGGACGCTAAACCTAGCAGGGAAGATAAGGCAGGTCCGCGAATAATAATATTGTAAAGTAGAACTTGGTCTCTCAGTGCCGTAAGAGAGGTCCTGATGATAATTCAGAGGAGGGAGTGGGCATCAGGGAAGTGTATTTAAACTTACCATTAGAGGATATTTGGCCAAGGCATCCCTCGAGGAAAAGATAGCATAGGAAAAGAAAATAGCTTTGTGTCTTAGTTTGCTAGTGCTGCTCTAACAAATACCACAAGAGAGTGGCTTTAAGGGACAGAAGTTTTCTTATAGTTTAGGAGGCTAGAGGTCTGAATTCAGAGCACCAGCTTTAGGAGGAGGCTCTCTCTCACTCTATCCACTCTAGGGGAAAATCTGTTTCAGCTTCTGTTGCCCAGGAGTTCCTGGTTCCTTGACTATCCTCATACGTGCTGGTGTTTTCCTCAGTTTGTGCCTGCTTATCTCTGTATGCTGCTCTTTATATCGGAAGTGGTAAGTTTTAGGACACACCTACACTGATAAGGCCTGCTTAACATAACAAAGAAAACCCTATTTCCAAACGGGATTACACCCACAGGTATAAAACATTAAAAAAAAAAAAAAATTGCCGTTGAGTCAATTGCAATTCAGAGCGACCCTATAGGACAGAGTAGAACTGCCCCGTAGGGTTTCCAAGGCTGTAAATCTTTACTGAAGCAGACTGCTGCATCTTTCTCCAGCTGGTGGGTTCCAACCAACAACCTTTTGGTTAGCAGCCGAGTGCTTTAACCACTGCTTCAGCAGTGCTCCTTGTCCACAGCTATAGGGGTTAGGATTTCAACATAAATTTGGGGGGAGGGGACACAATTCAATCCATAACACTCTTTAATTGGAGCAAAGAGTAGCCAGGTCATGGCTGGCAAGGTTAAGAACATCATACTTTAATTGATGGGCTGTAAGGAAGCCTTAACTAAAGAATCTTTTTGAACAGAGGAGTGAGGTCAAGTCTGGTAGTATATAAGGAAGGAACCAAATAAAAGACTGGAAAGAGTGGTTTTAAAAAGTATATAAATGGATAATTCACAGAAATAGAAACAAAAGAGCTAAAATGTATGAAGTGGTGCTCTACTGGTAATCAGACAAAATGCATGTTAAAATGTCTTTGCCTGCTCCCCACATATCACCTCAGAACTTGTTGATAAAAATGCTGAATTTACCCTGGTGGTGTAGTTAGTGGTTAAGAGCTATGGCTGCTAACCAAAAGGTCAGCAGTTCGAATCCACCAGACGCTCTTTGGAAACCCTATGAGGCAGTTCTACTTTGTTCTTGACAGAGCTTTGGCAGTGAATGTGTCAGAGGGGAGAAAGGCAAGGTGGGAATTTATTGAGAATTCGAACTTTGGTTTAAGGTGGGTCTTTCAGTGCAGGGTGTTGATTAGGATTGGACAGGGAGTCCCTGGGTGGTGCAAACGTTAAGGCACTCAACTGCTAATGGAAAGGTTGAAAGTTGGAGTCCACTCATGTGCCTCAGAAGAAAGGCCTGGTGATCTGCTTCTAAAAATCAGCCATTCAAGACCCTGTGGAGCACAGTTCTACTCTTGACACCCATGAGTCTGAGTCAGCTTGATGGCAGCTGGTTTTAGGGTTCACATGTAACAGTTCAGGATTGGTAGGAACAGTGAGGGGAGGATTTTTGAGTCAAGGGTTTCAGAGAGTCTTAGGGTGGAAATTGTTGATGCTTTCCATTGAAGAGTTGATCCTTCTTTGGAGAGTTTTCAGTGAACAGTCAAGCCATTTGCCTGGTCAAAAGTTTCCTAGAATAGTAAAGTCATGCTAATGAAGACAATGGAATAGTTAAAATCATGTTATTATGAACGGTCAGTTTTATGTATGTTGGAGGGAGTGTATGTAGTTTCAGTCCTTGGTGTCCCAGCTATGTGGGGCTAGATGGTTTTGATTTTCAAAAAACAACAATGGAAAACAGTATTATATCTTTCAGGTTGGCAGAAATCAGAATGTTGAATAATATCAAGTATTGGCTAAAATATGAGAAATTCTTTTTTTTTTCTTATTGTACTTTAGATGAAGGTTTACAGAACAAGTAGTTTCTCATTTAAACAGTACACATATTGTTTTATGACATTGGTGAATAACCCCACAACATGTCAACACTCTCCCTTCTCGACCTTGTGTTCCCTAGTACCAGCTTTCCTGCCGCCTACTGCTTTCTAGTCCTTGTCTCTGGGCTTTTAGCCCCATTAGTCTTGTTTTGTTTTATGGGGCTATTTAATCTTTGGCTGAACGGTGAACCTTTGGGAGTGACTTCATTACCGAGCTAAAAGGGTGTACAGGGGTCATACTCTCGGGGTTTCTCCAGTCCCTGTCAGGTCAGTAAGTCTGGTCTTTTTTTGTGAGTTATAATTTTGTTCTGCATTTTTCTCCAGCTCTGTCCGGGACCCTCTGTTGTGATCCCTGTCAGAGCAGTCAGTGGTGGTAGCCAGGCACCGTCTAGTTGTACTGGACTGAGGGACTGAGTCCGGGGGAGGCCATGGTGGTTGTGGTCCATTACTCACCAGAGAAAGAAATTCTTATGTACTACAAGTGGGAGTTTAAACCAACCTAGACTTCTGAGAGCATTTTGCAATATTTAGTGAAATTATGTATGAGTAAGCTATGACCCAGCAGTTACTTGCCTGTCTAAATACCTTCAAGTCCATAAGGAAACGTAGGGTATTTATTACAACATTATTTCTGATAGCAGGGTGCTGAAAGCAATTTAGGTGTCTGTCACAAGTGTGGTATATGCATATGATCAAATTGATGGAAGACTTCAATTACAGCAATGACAGTGGCATATCTAGGGTATTGTACCAGCCCTGGATGCGTGGAGCCACTGAGCAGTTTCTGTTAACCTGGTATGGCCCAGTGTCCTTCCTCAAGCGTGGTGATGTGTTGATTAAAAGATTAACAAGCTTGACTTGTGTTTTTGAGCTGATCTTATGGCAAGGTTATCTAAAAGAAGGGTGTCAGATGTTTGGACAGGAGAGCAATTTCAGTGCTTGCCATAGGTGCCATTTTTCGTAGATACTAATAGAAACTGCTCAGTGGCACGCACAGAGCAGGTGCAACACCTGCCATACCCTAGTTAAACCAAAAAAAAAAAAAAACAAAAACAAACCCTTTGCCGTCAAGTTTATTCTGACTCATAGAAACCCTATGGGACAGAGTAGAACTGCCCCATAAAGTTTCCAGGGAGCAGCTGGTAGATTCCAACTGCCGACCTTTTTGGTTCACAGCCGTAGCTCTTAACCACTGCGACACCAGGGCTCCATACCCTAGTTATGCATCTCTGAAGTAGACTTAAGTATAATAACATGAAATGATCACAAACATAATATAAAGGAAAATGTAAACGTGTACAACACTATTTTTCAAGAATACATATGTAAAGATGAATTGAAAAGGCATACTTTAAAACTAGATTCCTACTGGAACGGGAGATGAAAGGTGTAATAAAATAGAGAAGGAATAGAGTACCATGAAATAGGAAGTATTATCGACTCAGTTATATACATATGAGGTCCTTAAAGAGGAGGGCAGAATGTGGTTAGTAAGGACTAGATTGTGAAGGCCCTTCTAAGCTACATTGAAGGAGTTTGAACTTTATCCTAAGGGCATTGGGGAAAGAAAAATCTTGCCAATCCAGGGAATTCTCTCCATAAAACGTGGAAAAGAAAGCAGTTTTATTATTGAAGAAGCTCATTGTTGTGTGCTGTTGAGTCAGTTCTGACTCATAGCGAACCTATTCGACAGTAGAACTGCCTGTAAGGTTTGCTGGAGCAGATCGCCAGGTCTTTTCTCTCATGGAGCTGCTGGTGGATTTGAACCACAGACCTTTCAGTTAGCAGCTGAGTGCCTAACCATTGTGCTACCAGGGCTCCTTTGAATAAGCATGTCCAGATTAAATGCATTGTGGGTGATCTGGATGAGATTACAAAGACACAAAGGAATGTTTATACAACCAAGTAGGACAATCTGTTTATAGCCATTACATACAGAATTACTCAAGGTTAGTGGCATCTTCTCTTCCATAAGAAGAGAAAATTCTTCCATAAAATTCCTCCTAAATTCATCTGGTAATTAAGGTAGATATTTGTTTTAGCTAATTGCCTTTATTTGAAGAATAATAAAACTTCTCTTATGTCTATGACAGCTCAGAGAAAGATGCCCAGGTTAAACTCCACAAAGAAATAGTGCTGTTTTCCTAAATGTTTACATTTGAAAGGGACATGCCCACACCCTTGAAAAAGTATGTTGTGGTTGTAAAGCTGACAAGAGGCTTAAATCCAAACCAACTGATAGTGGAACTGCCCCATAGGGTTTCTAGGGAGCAGCTGGTGGATTTGAACTGCCAACCTTTTGGTTAGCAGCCCAGTGCTTAACCACTGCACCACCAGGGTTCCAGCAAGGGGCTTACTCAGCTTCTAGTTGGGACTTTTTCCAGTTGATTGGGTTGGAAGGGCAAGGGAGTTGAGGACATTGGCAAGGGAGTAGTTGAAGTGTGATGGATTGTGGTACTGAAAATGGTTAGGGAAGCAAGTGAAGTGGGGGAGACCGAGATCAAGAAATAGAGGATCAGAGGGCTGGAAGTCTTGAAGATTAAGGTAGAATGTGAGTATTGTGAAAAGAGTTGGAAGAATAGCATAAGAAGTTGTGGTCAGAAAAGTTAGGAGCAGTTGGGGAAGGAAGTTACAAATGTCAAATATCAAGAGCCAGATGGATAAAATAGTAGAGATGAAGGTCATTGAAACTCAAGAAACTGAAAGTCTCTAGGGCATTGGTTAGGTCATCTGTTTAGACATCAGAATTGTCTAGAATGTTAACAGATTTCAGAGGACTGAGGCATGTGTCAGAGTCCTCAGTAAATGAGAAAAAAGGAAAATGAACAGTGAGGAGAGGGAGATACAGATGAAACGCTTCAGAGAGGCAAGGGTTTATATCCTATTGTGGATAAGTAAGGCCAGAAGTGGCGTTGGGTATTAGGAACCACAACCCCTTATTTTTTGTTTATTTGCTTGCTTGTTTTTTAATATGTGTAATGTTGTGGTTTGTTTCTTTCCTCAGATGATTTTTTATTCTGACGATGATTTTGCTTTTCACATTTGCAGATTTTTCACAGCCTCCTAGTAAAGAAGCCAAGATGTCTGTCGATCCAATGACGTATGAGGCCCAATTCTTTGGCTTCACACCACAAACTTGCATGCTTAGGATCTACATTGCATTTCAAGACTACCTATTTGAAGTGATGCAGGCTGTTGAACAGGTTATTCTGAAGAAGTTGGACAGCATCTCAGACTGTGATATTAGCCCAGTCCAGATTCGTAAATGCACAGAGAAGTTTCTTAGCTTCATGAAAGGACGTTTTGATAACCTTTTTGGCAAAATGGAACAGCTGTTTTTGCAGTTGATTTTGCGTATTCCTCCAAACATTTTGCTTCCTGAAGATAAATCCCAGGAGACGCATTCTTATAGTGAGGAAGAATTCCAGCTTCTTCAAAAAGAAATCGAACAGTTACAGAGGAAGTATAAGACTGAATTATGTGCTAAGCAGGCCCTTCTTGCAGAACTAGAAGAGCAAAAAATTGTTCAGGCCAAACTCAAACAGACATTGACTTTGTTTGATGAGCTTACAAATGTTGGCAGGGATCATGGGATTAGTGATTTTAGGGAGAGTTTGGTGTCCCTGGTCCAGAACTCCAGGAAACTACAAAACATTAGAGACAATATAGAAAAGGAAGGTGAGAGACTGAAAACGTCTTAATTTTTAAATGGTAAAAAGAAAGAACCTGTCAGTAGAATGGTAAGGGACTTATACCAATGACCATTCTTATTCTAGTGAACCATATATTTTAGCGGATTTTCTTTGTTCAATCTTTCCTGTATTCCACGTCTTCCTCTTTTTTGGTCTGCTCTCCTGAAGTATCTGTGTACTACCCTAAACTAGTCCTTGAAGAATCTGTTCCTTAGAGGCCTTTAATAGATGGGAAGGGATTCTTGATTCAATAATGACTCATTTGGGAGCATGATTAAAGAAGTTATTCCCTGGCTAGTCTCAGGTATTTGTAAAATTGTACCTTGGTCATGAGTCCTTTGTGACCTTGATCTTTTTGGCTTATTGTCTGGGTGAGAGCAAATGAGGAAATGGCCTAACGGGTGATTCCTTTATTAGCCAGCCGTTACTCTATGCGACAGCCATTGTAGTTAGAGTGCTTGCTCTTGTCCAGTAGCTTTTCTTACGTGGCGAGATTGATAGCTGGTTGAAAGAAGCAAGTAGCAGAAGAGGCAACATTGATCTTTGGTAAAGAAGAAAGAAGTTGTTTTCATTTCCAAAGCAGGCCTTGGTGATGTTAAGCAGTTTACTATCTTGGACCCCAGGAATAGACCTTGGACAATAAAGAAGCAGATCCCACTGGAACAGAAGAAGGAGGCACAGAATATACCTAGTAGCGAAGTTTATACTGACTACTAGGTAATTATACCAATTTTTTTTTCTTCAGTTGATTTTGGAATTGCCCTGTAGCTAATATTTAACTAACTTATTTATTCAAATTGTAATTTTATTCATTCTCTTATTCCCCATCAGTGGGAAATTTTAGCTGAGTCTTGTGCTTAAATTCAATGGAGCCTAATATTTCTTTTTGTAATTATAATCCATGAAGAATGTTAGATCATCCAAAAAAAGGGGGAAAATGGCAATAGTTGCTCTTAAGCTATTGCTTGCCCTCCATGTCTTCCTAAAGGAACAGGATTTGGAATTTCTTCTTATGTAGAGAAAGGGGTAACTTAGGGAATTAATGTGTGCAAGTAAATGGGTTTAGAAAGCCTCTGTTTACCTAGAATAAGTATGTTATCAAGCAGCCTTTTTCCCAATCCTGTCCATTAAATACATATATTTCAAAAGCTTTGGTTTTTGCTTTTCTTCTGTCTATAAATGTCATGGTATCTTTCCTCAGTGTGACTTTTCACCCAAATTAAATTTTTCTATTATTTTCATGTTTGTAGCTTATTCAGAATCTCCTAGTGTAATGGATTGAATGGTGGTGTTGTTCTTGGGTACCATGGAGTCGATTCTGACTCTTAGTGACCCCATGCGACAGGGTAGAACTGTCCAATAGGGTTTTCTTGGCTGTAATCTTTATGGAAGCAGATTGCCAGGTCTTCCTCCCAACCTTTTGGTTAGCAGCCAAGCACTTAGCCGTTGTGCCACCAGGGCTCCTTATCGGTTGAATAGTGGTACCCAAAAAGATATGTCTATGTCCTAGTTCCTGGAACCTTTTAATGTTACCGTATTTGGAGAAAGTCTTTGCAGATGTAATTAAGTTAAGGATCTTGAGATGAGGAGATCATCCTGGATATGTGGGTGGGCCCTAAAACTAAAGACAAGTGTCTTTATAAGAGAAAGGAAGAAGGAGATTTGAGAAAGAAGAGAAGGAGGCAGTGTGACCATGGAGGCAGAGGGGGAGTGAGGCAGCCACAAGGCCAAAGAACGCCAGCAACCGCCAGAAGCTGGAAGAGGCAGAGAATGGCTTCTCCCCTAGAGCTTCCAGAGGAAGTGCAGCCCTACCAACACCTTGATTTCAGATTTCTGGCCTCCAGAACTGTGAGAGCATACGTTTATGTTGTTCTAAGCCACCATGTTTGTGGTGACAATAAGAAACTAATACATCTAGTGAAATCAGAATATTAAATATTCTTAAGCATGTAGGCTATTTGTTAAGGAAACAACAGTTGAGGGCTGGTTGGCCTCATTATACATGCAGTAATACTGTTTGTCTGAATACAGTTAAAATATGAACATGAACCTAGATAAAACAAAAACCCATTGCTATCAAGTCGATCCCGACTCATAGCAACACTATAGGACGGAGCAGAGCTGCCCCATAGGGTTTCCAAGGCTGTAATCTTTACAGAAGCAGACTGCCACATCTTTTTCCTGTGGAGCAGCTGGTGTGTTCGAACCACTGACTTTTCAGTTAGCAGCCAAGCACTTAACCACCATGCCACCGGGGCTTCTTTGGATAGGAGGGTGAAATCCACAGTGTTTAGAACTCAGGGGCGCTTTCACGTAAGTGTTCAGAATAACTGTTGGACATTACTATTGTTACTATTTGTCATGGTGGTGTCTGCAGCAACAGAGTAATCTACTTAGCTCCATTGCCCTCTAATAATTAAATTCTCAACTCAAAAATTCAGGAATAAGGATAATAACTGGTTACCCACTCTGCTTCCTTGCCCCATCCCCCATCTAGCATCTATATCACCCAATTTCTTAATCCTAACTTCTCTACGCTAGTTTCTATCACTTTGTAATGTCAACCTTCAGTTTCCCTAGATGTCTACCCTCAAACCTGCCCCAGTATTTACCTGTTTACTTTCGAATCATGCCTCTTCTCCACTCTACCCTCAAGTAGACTCTTTTCCCATTATCTTGCTGCTGCATGACAGGTAGCCAATCAGGGAGGTGGTTTGGTATGGTATTAATAAAGATGAGGCATTATTACCAACTTTACAAAAATAAGAATTAGAAGGAAATACGATGAACAAATATATTCCCACAAATTAGATAACTTAGATGAAATGGACAAACTCCCAGAAAAATACAAATTACTGTAACTGACTCAAGAAGAAATAAATTGAATAGGTCTATAACAAATAAGGAGCCCTGGAGGTGTAGTGGTTAAGAGCGTGGCTGCTAATCAAAAGGCCAGCAGTTCGAATCCACCAGCCGCTTCTTGGAAACTATGGGGCAGTTCTACCCTGTCCTATACTGTTGCTATGAGTTGGACTCAATGGCAATGGGTTATAACAAAAAAGCCCTGGTGGTGCAGTGGTTAAGAGCTTGGCTGCTAACCAACAGATCAGGAATTTGAATCCACCAGCTGCTCCTTGGAAACCCTATGGGGCAGTTCTGCTCTGTCCTATAGGATCACTATGAGTTGGAATCAACTCGATGGCAATAGGTTTTTGGTATAACAAATAAGGAGCCCTGGTGGTGCAGTGGTTAAGAGTTTGGCTGCTAAACAAAAGGTTGGCAGTTTCAATCTACCAGCCGCTCCTTGGGAACCCTGTGGGGCAGTTCTACTCTGTCCTATAGGGTTGCTATGAGTCGGAATGGACTTAATCGCAACAAGTTTGGTTTTGGGTTATAACAAATAAGGGAGCCCTGGTGGTGCAGTGGTTAAGCACTCAGCTGCTAACTGAAAGGCTGATGATTTGAACCTACCAGCCACTCCACAGGAGAAAGATGTGGCCATCTGCTTCCGTAAAGAGTTACAGCCTTGGAAACCCTATGAGGCAGTTCTACTCTGTCTTATAGGGTCGCTATGAGTTTTTAAGTTTTATAACAAAGAGATTGAATTAGTAATTTAAAAAAAAAAAAACTTCCACAAAGAAAAACCTAGGACCAGATGGCATCACTGTTGAAGTCTACCTAGCATTTAAAGACGAATTAATAATACCAGTTCTTTTTTTTTTATTGTTGTAATTAAATGAAGTTTACATTTCAAGTTAGTCTCCCATACAGAATTTTTTTTTTCTTTTTTTACATACATGGTTATGAGACCCCAACCACTCACCCTATTCTGCGACAGCACACTCCTCCCCTCTGCCCCTGATTCCCCATGAACATTCAACCAGCTCCTAACTCTCTCTGCCTTCCCATCTCACCTCTGGACAGAAGCTGCCCCTTTGGTCTCCTGTATCTACTTGACTAAGAGGCACATTCTTCACAAGTGTTACTTTATGTCCCACAGTCCAGTCTAATCCCTGTCTGAAGAGTTGGCCTCAGAAATTGTTTTAGTTCTGGGGTGATAGAGAGTCCAGGGGCAATGCTTTCCGGGGCACCTCCAGTCTCAGTCAGACCATTAAGTCTGGTCTTCTTACTGGAATTTGAGTTCTGCATCCCATCGTTCTACTGCTCCATCAGGGACCCTCTGTTGTGTTCCCTGTCAGGACATTGATTAGTGGTAGCCGGGTACCATCTAGTTCTGGTCTCAGGCTGATGAAGTCTCTGGTTTATGTGGCCCATTCTGTCTCTTGGGCTAATACTTTCCTTTTGTCTTTGGTGTTCTTCATTCTCCTTTACTCCAAGTGGTTGGGACTAATTGATGCATCTTAGATGGCTGCTTGCAAGCTTTTAAGACCCCAGACGCCACTCACCAAAGTAGGATGCAGAACATTTTCTTAATA